CAGAGTGATGAATTATGGTAAATAACGGTTTATTTTGTGCATTCTCAATAGTTTTAGCAGCTTTTAGTTCTGTACGTTCAGTTTTCATGTGAAACATATTGCTGAAAAAAATAGAAAGACCTATGTAGTCAAATAGACTTAAGCCACAAAAGTCATAAAGTTACTCAGAGAAATCAACAAATATATTCTTATAGAGTTCAATAATCATCACTCAGTAGTGATAAACCAAGCAAACAACAAGTTCAGTAAACACATAATTTTTAATAACAGATTAGTTCTAATTGGATGGACATAGAACTCCAAGGCCAACAGTGTTTCTCAAATATAAATGAAACATCAGCAAATATCAGCCACTTGCTTGCCCAAAGAAAGTAAGCCTCAATTTTCAAAGAGATTATATAATATAGATCATTTTCATTGACCAAATTACAACTAAACTAGAAATCAATACCCAAAACACATGTGAAGAAATAAAATATCTTTATATTTTGGTAAATTAAACATACCTAAATACTCAAGGAGCCCACTGAAACTCTTGATAGCTATATGAATATTTCAATCTCTAAAAATTCAAATATGATTTACCCATGGAGGGCAACTGTTATATTAATCAAAATATATTAATATCTGCCTCTTGACCCAACAATTTCAACAATTCTGTTCTTAGAAATTTCCTTTATGAATATATCACATGCAAAATTGTACATATACAAGATTATTCATAACAGCTATTTATAATAGCTAAACATAGAAAATAACACAAGGGCTCCTCAATCACAAACAATTTTTGGCTCAAATTCACAATGAGATATAATGAAGAGATAATAATAATGAGAAACTCACAACAAAATATTCCACTAGTAAGATAAAGTGTCAAAAGAAAGGCAAAACCCTAGTATGGAGGCCCATGCTTATAATTCCAGCATTTAGAAGGCTGACATGGGAAGATTACAAGTTTGAGGCCATCCAGGGTCACATAGCAAGCTCAAAGCTAGTGTGGACTATATGAAAAGACATTGTCTCAAAAAATAAAAATCCAAAAACATGATATGTTGAGTATAGAAAGAATTAAGAGCTGGCATTTATATTTGCTTATATTGCATAACCACATATTGCCTAACAGATTTACATAACAAAATAATGGAAAACTAATAAAAAACCATCACCCATAGAAAGTTGGGGAATGAGGTAGGTAGGGAAAGCCAGGTGTAAGAGCCCTTAGTATCTTATTCTGAAGTTGTGATTTTTAAATCATGTGTATACACTAATCAGTCAAATACAAAATAGTGAAAATATATTATATAGTAATTTGTAATACCAATGAAAGTACAACCTAAAAAAGTCTAAAGTTTCATGTACATATTTAGAAAGCTAAAAAAAATGTAAGTATCCAACTGTTGTGGTAGGAGTTTACAAGAGAAAAGATTTAATACAGGACACATAATTTATAGGATTATTTTACAATAGTCACCCAAGAGTCAAATGCAGAAGAGTATAGGAGATCTGTCCACAGACTAGACATCCAAAAAATATAACCGAGGGCCTAGATCCTGTGACAATGTCCTTCATGAGTCCCACTGGAGTACTAGAACCCACAACAATGTCTCATGCAAATCTGTATCAAGGACCTACACTGGTAAGGCCCAAAGGTCAGCAGTTGTTATGGTTTGTGTCTAGATGTTCCCCACAAAGCCTCATGCAGTCATGTGGTCAGGCTTCTAGAGTTTGTGAATGTTCATGGTCTAATGCTGGGATTATGAGTGTTGGTGCTACACCTGGGGGGGGGGCAGCCTACACACAATGTAAGGGACAGTAAGAGTGTTCTCTGCACACTCCTCTCTTTTTGCTCTTGTTGCTTTCAGCACAATGAACAGTTGCCCCTGTGCCATGCCACCCTACCCTTAATCACTCTACAGCTGATTAAGGACTGAGACTTCTACAAACTGAGCCAAATAAACCTTCCCTTTCCTAATTTTGTATGTTAGGTATTTTGTCTCAGCAATGAAAGAAAAGTAACCAAGACAGAATTTGGTACCAGTAGAATGGGATCATTGCTGTGACTATGCCTGATGTTCAAGAGCCTTTGGAAATGGCTTGAGGGAAGAAGAGTTTGGAAAGGTTTGGAGAGGTCATCTGAAAGAGTAGCCCTGGAACACCTTAGGCTGTTCTGTGTGGGAAATTCTGATCAGGGCTCATAAGACCAGAAAGCCAGTAAAGACCAGGCTCAGGAAGTTTCTTCTGGAAAGAAGGACTGCAATGGTTGTTGGAGTCTAGATGATGTGTGTATTGGCTTGGCAGAAATTTTGTCTTCATTTTGTTCATGTCCAGAAACTTTGCCTGAGACCAAGATTAAGGGAAGCAGACTAATAATCTGGCAGAAGAAATTTCAAGGCAGTCAAATATTGAGGCTGTGGTATGGCTATTATTAGGGACTTTTAGTCAGATCTGTGTTGCAAATCAAGAGCAAAAAGCCCAACAGTGTGATTTAATATGTTGTGAGTCTGGCCAGGGGAAAAATGTTCCAGTGAATCTGTGGACTGCAAAGACATAGCTGAGGTCTCTACTGATGAAAAAGAATAAAAAAGATGGCTTGGGGCATCATGGGCAGCAGCATGTCTCCACCCTCTGCAGCCGCAAAACTGCAAAGGTGAAAGACTGCTTTGAGGATAAAGCCAGAGAATGGAATGACATGTTCCAAAATGGTGGTGGTTGCACCAGGTTCCAGAATGGCAGCAGCACAGAGAATTTGTTCCTTCCAATCAAGTTCAGAGTGCCCAGTGATCTAAGCACTCAATCTCAATGGCCAAGAAAGAGGAAAGCCTGGCTACTCCTCCAGCTGACAGTGGACCTTGGCATCATCCACACAGCACTGGTTTTAGGTACATGCAGAATGCAAGAGTTGTAAGGTTAAAGGGGTTTCCACCCCAATTTCAGCAGGTGTGGGAGGCCATGCAATGTGCCCCTGAAAGGGTAGTATTTGAAGCTGTAAGTGTGAAGCCAAAGGTACAGTGGAGATCAAGAAGTTTGGAAAAGCCAGGAGCATGGATCATCTAAGGAAAACTGAAAGGAGGGAGCAAAGTCAGCCCAAAAGAGATGCTGTGGGAGTTAAAACCACTAGAAGTGCCGTGGGGATGGAGTCACTCAAACTTTTTGCAGCTCACAACTAGATCGTTTCAGATGCTAAATGTGGAACTCCAGGATGTTTGCCCTGCTGAATTTTAGACTTCCTTTGGTCCCATTCCTTTATATTTCCTAGTTTGTACCTTTTGGAATGGTAATGTTTATCTTGTGCCATTGAATGTTGAAAGTGTTTAACTTTCTTTTCATTTGTATGGGGGTTACAGCTAAGAGTTTGCCTTAGATCTTGGAGGAGACTTGGGACTTGAATTTTTCAGCAATGCTGAAACTGTTAGGACTGTGGCAAGTCTTGGAGAAGGATTAAATGTCTTTTCCATAAAGGATGTACATGAGTCTTTGGGGGGCCAGGGGTGGAATTCTATGATTTTTGTTTAAATGTCCCCCTGAAGGTTTATACAGTTGTGGGGAGCAGGGGGCTGAGTCTAGTGTTTGTGATTGGTTCATTGTCTAGTGCTGGGATTGGAGCTACAAGTGCTGCATCAGCCCTGTGTGCAGGTAGCCGGCACAAAATAGTAGTGGAAGCTAAAAAGTCTGCATATGCAGGATGAAAGATCTGACATGTCAAACTTACAGATCTGCACGGAAGCCAGGAAGCACCACTCAAGGTAAGGATCAGAGCTCCCTTGAAAACAACTGAAGACATCCCAGCAACTGCGAGGACCTGAGATCTGACAATGAGAACAGCTGAGTTCATATCAGGAAAACCAGTAGGACAATCTTCTCCAGGAGAATCAACAGCACACCATCTTCCCCTTCAGTTCTCCTTTTACGCTGTTGGCAGCAGACCTCAGGTGGATCTCCATATCTAGAACCAAGCTGAGTTAGTTCAGCTGGGTGTTACAAGCTGACCATTAGTTAATCCACCACACTAATTTATAAACTGAGGTGGAGAAAGCTGAAAAATAAAATTATCTAAGTATCTGACTTAAAAATTACAAAAATAAGGCCAAGAAAGCAAAAGAAAGGAGATTAAATAGAAACAATTGATACATTTAAATTCTCGACTCAAGTAATCAAAGTGACAGAGAAAGATGAGCTAGAGAATTTTAGAAAAGTCAAAATACATAAATTTATGGAAACTGCAGCTCAAGGTCTCAGGGCATTAGGTGTGCACTTAAGTTTATGTATGAAATAAAATTTAGAAGGTTTGGGCCTCAGACTCAAGTTATGTGAGTCAAAGCCAGTGTTTCATGTGAATATATCTGAGACCCAGTTTCACACAGTCGGTGTCCTCAGCAATCACTGACCTGGGTGGAGAGAAGAGAAAACTAGGAACTTCAGATGTTCTCTTCTCAGGTTGCTTTCATTCTTTCATGTTAAAGAATATAACGCAAAGACATGGCAACCATGCACACCAAGATCCAGAAGCTACCTGGTCCCTCTTTCCAGGAAATAAATGTGCTCAAGGGCAAACCTAGAATTTGAAAGTAAAGAAAATCCTTCATATAAACATAACCTTAGTACCTTGACCTCTATCTCCATCTCATTCTTGTCAGTGTTGCAGCAACAAATCCCCTGTAGACAGACACATGAAGAATTCAGTAGGACTTGTCACATGCATCACCTGTTGGGTTACAGCACCATTCACAAATTAGAGTACTGTGCAGGTCTGGGCACTATGTAATTGTCCTCCTACTCTGACATTCTGTGGTGCTGTGAGTCTATGAATGGAAAAGTCACTGAAAAACATTTCAGAATCGAGATTCATGGTTGACTTTAAGACTGATTAGATTTACTCCTGTGCAAGCAGCAATGAGACTCAGAAAACTAAAAATTGATAAAGCTAAATATTTATACCAATCCAGAAACATATTCTCTACTTCCCTTGATCTACAAACTTAAAGTCAAGACACTCAGGAAAGTGGTATCAAAACAAGATCAATATACTCTCCACATGTCAAGTTTTATTTATGAATTCTGACCCAAGTCTGGTGAAGAACTGTATATTAGAATTTACAGCAGAAAAAGAGTGATTTGTGTAACTCAACTTTTCACCTACATATATTATCAAATTTTTTAGTTTTTGTTGCTAGTACTGGAGATTGAACCCAGGGCCTATGCACAGAGCTATATACCCAGCCTCTTCTTTATTTCTTTACTTCTTTCTTGCTTGCTTGATTGATTGATTGATTTCTTTCTTTCTTCTTAAACTTTGAAACAGGATCTTACTAATCTGCCCAGGCTGGGCTTGAACTTGTGATTCTCCTGTCTTAAGCTTCAAGAATAGTAAGATTTACTGTTAACTTTAAAAACAAATACTCTGCATTTTTCTCTATCTTTACGAGGAAGTCACTTAAAAATCTCATTAAAAGAATTGAATTCTTGGTATGCAGTAAATAAGACACATCAGACCGAGGACATATCAGATGTGTAACTTTGACTTAGGCTTGCGAAATGATGTAGCCCAAAGGTTGTTAATAATGTGATGCAGATATGGTAGTACTTCAGGGAACCATTGGTCTGAAAACAAGAAGAAATACACAAAACAAATCAGAATGCAGCCTTCGGCCTCAATCCAAGTACAACTCCACCTTTCAAAGTTCAAATGTTAACCAGAAGACCTTATGCATCAGGACTGTATGATTTTTTTAGGTTGGTGTGATTTTTATGGTTGTTTGTCCCATGGCATTATTACAGCAATATTTAACTTATGTGCTCACCTATCAGAGACGCTTATTAAAACATCTATAACTATAAATCACTTTGATCTAAACAAATTACGCTTTTTGGTTGGGAGTGTAGCACAGTGGTAGAATGCTTGCCTAAGGAGGGATAGAGGAATGGAAGGAAGAGTGGAAAGAAAAAAGGAAAGGAGGGGAAGAAAAAGTAGGGAGAAGGGAAGGAAGAAAGAAACATGTATCATGCTTTTCAATTTTAGAGTACTAAAAAAAAGGAAGTCCACCATTTCAAATGATTATCAGAAAGAGTTCAACTAAATAACTGTGATAATGCATTGCAGTAACAAAGCCCTTTTCGCTAAGTGCATTATTACATCTATTTTGGAGATCCTAAAATAGCCTCAATAATTAATCAGATAGTGGTAAAATAAGATTGCTACTTTGGTTTTCTAAATCTTATGTGTCTCCAGTAAGTAAGGCTCTCTTCCTACATACTCTAATGAGAAAATATACAGAGTAGTCTCTATAATTTAGGGAATGCTATCTATCACTTAGAAATTAAATAAATGCATGTTCTGAAGGCTTATTTCGAGTGTCTAACTCAATAAAATTATTTTCTCTGTAGAAACATCTAGAATGAAATAAAAGATATTTATACAACATTTTCTAGGAAATGTTTCAGAGACTAGATAAAACACAAGTTCCCAAGAAAGATATGAAATCTCCATGTCAAAATCCACATGAAATTTTTGTCCTTCCATAACAGAAATTAGATTTTCCTCAAGGGTACTTGTTTCTAGAGGTCTTTTTCTTTAAAACATATGGTCTGCAGCTGGCTGAGGAGTGGGTGTTTATCCTGCCATTAGATGTATATCATTATGTAAAATGCTTATGATCTGTACATCCCCAGAGTCATGTAGTGCTGTCTCTTTCATTCTCTCTCCAGAGAACGCAGAGACATTGCATGAATAACTTTTTCCCTAGCATACACATTTGGCAGAGATGACATCACTTCCAGATGTTCTCTTATTTTTCATCTTGGTAATGACTTTTCTCATCAGAGAGTTAGAGGGTTTCTAAGTTTGTCCCCAACTGGGTATTGTGGGGAAGAATGTTGAAAGCTTTCTCGCCAGGAGTGTCTCAACTATGACAACCAGATGAAGCTTCAATATGTAAAATGATTCCTTGTCCCATTCCCTTACAGTTATAGAACAAACTATATGCAAAGCAATAAAATGATCAATATCTATCTTCAAGATCAGCAAAAGGACTTTTAATCTAAGCAACACTGTGATTCTGCCCCTCGCATGGCAGAAGATTATTTTGTGGACATCAGTATTATGTTGGGGGCAGGCTTCAGGTTGATTCATTATACCACTAGTTTATCTCAGTTTGTTAAAAAGAAAATTTTATGGTAATATTTTTTTTTGTAAGAATTTTTCTTGTCCATTTCTTGTACTCTAAGTAACAATTTTGAAGGCAATGATACACAATGTACTGACTAATGTTACTCTTATTTTATGCAATTTTGTCTCAATTTTTCATAAGATAAAAAATAAGTACATGGTGATGGAAATGTTGGATCCAGTTACCCTACTTTAGAAGATATGTATTGGAATGACTTTTAGCACGACTGATTTGAAGTACTATAAATCATTTTGATCTCATTGTTTCATATTGGATTAAACTTGTTTTCCATAAACAGAAAAATACTTGATGAACATAAATAACATGAACTAATATGGAAACAACTTACCTATGAATTCAACTATGCTATCATTTTACCCAGCCAGAATAACTAACAAAACTGGAATTAAACAGAGAAGACCCACTCTCAGGGAAATTCAGATGGGTATTCCATTATTCTTATTTATAAGCCTTGGTAATGATCTCAGTCATTGTAATGATCTCTGTATCTAGGGTTTATTATTTAAAATGTTTAGAATCCATTTTGAAAAGTCAAAGCTCTTTAGAAAAATAAACTTTAAAATTCAGGGTTTTACTTTCTCTGAATTTGTAAAATTGCATCAACAATCGATCAACATCAGTTAGAGATCACACTGTATTCTCTCACTTAGGGGACTTTAGAGACTCATTCCATGGTTGGCATAGCCACACCCTGACTGCTCCTGGATGCTGCTGTTTTGCCTCATTGAGCAAAGGGATGACGTCAGCAACCACGTGACACAGTGAGGGCCAGGGTGGGTGGGCACTCTGTACTCCCCCAGCCCAGCTCTGAACTCATTCAAGCATTTTATGTTCATGACACAGTAGAAACCGGAACGGAGGTTTTAACCCATGGATAAGCCTTTACAGTTTTTCCAAGGAAACATATCAAATGATCATTTCTTTAAATATTCATTTCATATACAACACTACTTTGAATAAGCAATGCATTTGTCTTCAGTTTTGAGAAATGCACCTCATTTTATGTTGTGTGATAAACATGAGTTTACTTGGAACCTAAAGAAAGAGCAAAAGCAAGTGTACTACCTGCAACCGCTTTGACACTGGACTCTGTGTATTGTCAGGACTTCCACGAGAATCAGCTGGAAGTCTTTTTTCTTGCATCACCTCTTCGTCACCCACTTCTCCCTCCCAAAGGTCCTCACTTTATCTTGCAGCTGGCCCTTTGATCCATTCCAGTTCCAATGACACAGCAGGTTTTTCTTCTCCGGAGACCAGCATTTGCAAAAACAAAACAAGTTTATTTACTACTGAAGTTCATAAATGGCATTCATACCCTAAAGTGTACCTCTTCCACCCAAGACTGAATATAAAGGTTAACATAATGAAGGGAAAATAAGCACATTTATTCATGTGCCTTTCACCAAAAATCACGAGGTATAGAAAGCATAAGGATTTATAAGCAACTGTTTAAAAGCATACCATGAACCTGTATTATAGTGAGGAACTGAGGCAGCCCCTAAAGGCCTGTATTTCAAGGTTTGAGCCCAGCTTGGCACTTTAGATGCTGGGCAAACTTTAAGAGTGAGAAATAAAGGAGTCACTGAGGAACATGTTCTTGAAGGGGATGATGGGCCAAGATGAACTTTGTGTCTTCATAAGTTTGTCATTTCAGGAATGTGTTACAGTAACAGAAAGGTGACAAATGTAACCTGGCAGTGTTTTTTCCAATAGCATCTGTTGTTTTTGTCATTACAGAAAGCAAGTCCTGGCCCCAAGTCCACATTGTCAAATACGTTAAATAAGACATTTTCTTGGGGTTGGTGTATTTCCAGATCTACAGAATTTCCCTATATTTGCAGAATAACATGTGTAATTATCTCCTGAGAAATCAACTACTATTTGTTTAAACTTGATCATTTAGAAGATTTAATTTTTTTCTTAAAACACATATAAAAGTTATGTGTTTTTAAAAGTATTAAATTCTTTGGGAAGAAACTTCAAAAGAAAAGACAAACTGAGATAGGAGAAAGGAAGAAAGGAAAAGAAAAAATATATGCATACGCAAGATAGTTAAGACAGTTATGCAGCTAGCTTCTCTTTATTTCTTAAAAAGAATGTTTTATTCTAATATTTAGATGAGATACCCCTATATCCTGTACTATGAATAGCTACTATTGACAATAATATGTGATATATCAATTATAGTTATTGTTCTACTAACCTGTTTTGTAACTTTGTTTCATTGTTTGCTTATCATGTTTTTCTCTTTAAAATAAAGAAAAATTTTCTGAGAATCTCCAGTCTAAAAAGATTGCAGTTAATAAAAATTGGCGCTGAAGTAAATGCCTATTTTAAGTATTCTGATCAAAAATATCAAACTTAAAAATACATAATCGCTACTTAAAGCTGGAATTTAATAGGCTTTCTGACCTTTTCAAAAATAATTTGATGTTTAACCCAAGAAATAAGACACCCATTTAGCAGGAGATTGTATTTTCACACTGTCCTACATATATAACAAGCTGAGGGGCTTTTTTAAAAAAATTAGAACAAGTGAGAAAAAATAGTTGTTATTCTTATTTTGAAGGCTTGAAGGGCAGATCAAATGAAGCCAATCTACAATAATAATGATTCATGAGCTTCATCTAATGATAATCCTTAATACCTTAGAGAGAAATCTTGATGGATGCAAACAGCATCAAAATCTTTTCAGTGAAGGGCATTTTGAGTAAGTACTTAATGTGCAATTAGCAACATTTAAAAAAAAGAGAAAGTTTAAAAGTCACTCCAGCACAACATCAAAGAATAGAATGAGCTCTGTCATTTTAAATTTCTGAGTGTTCATCCCAGCTGAGTCATTTAAGAAAAATGAATCCTGGAAAATTTAATTAATTTCTAAGAAACTCAGAGTTTGCATGTTTAAAATGGGAATTTGCTTAATTGGTTATTTTTGCCTTTGATTTTAGATTCTATTACATTACTGACCTTGTGTTGCTGGTTCTCTTTTGCTTTATGTGTCCATCACAGTGCCTGGGTCTTGGTAAAGGCAGCCTGAATTCAACTAAAGAATGAACCATTCATCAATCAATAAAGATTCATTGTGAATCTCGCATGATCTGGACACTGTTCTAATTGTTGGGCATAGGGTTTGGGTGAGGAGCCAGAAAAAAGTCACTATTGTGTGAAGCTTATGTGCTGGTAGAGAAGACAATTTAAGGAACAAATAGGAAAAGCTGATCACCTTCCCAGAGCGAAATAAAAGCAAAGCTGAAAAAAGCATAAAAAGCATATAAAATGAGGGAGGGAAGGGAATTATTCAGATTGCTAGAAAATTTCTTGTTGAGAAGATAACTTTTAAGTAAAGGCTTGAAGAAAGTGACCTTCTTTCTGTGCAGACCAGTGAGTAGGATATTCAAAGGCCCTGAGATAGAAGTCTAAAGAAAGTAGCACAGAGCCAGTATCATGTTCCGACTGACAGGGATGGAAGGAGAAAGAGAAGATGTTATTGTTAGAGAGGCAAGAGGAAGGCACAAGTCATGGAGGAGTTGTTGGTTGGAAAACAAGGACTTTGGCTTTTATTCTGGGAGAGATGGGACCCTGCTGGAAGTGTCTGAGCAGCAAATTGACATGTTCTGGCTTATATATGAACAGGGCCATATTGTGTTAATAATAGACTACAAGAGGGACACATGGAAGTAAAATATCTATCTGATGATATTTTTGTAAAGATGACTCAAAAACATGTGTGACCCTTTTGTTGGGGATGTAGGTCAGCATTGAGTTTAATCCCAAGCACCACAAAATAATAAAATAAAAATATATCAAGCAAGGCTAAGATCTGGCACTGATTGTCCTTAGTCCCTAGAGGAAAGCTGTACTATTCTCACTGATCAAGGCTGTGCCCTTTTTACAGAAGCATACACAAGGCTGCGTGTTGTCACCATTCCCAATCACGGGAGACCACATCTTTTTTTTCCAGCAGCTTAGGAGCTGGGGTGCTGAATTATGATCAACAAGAATAATCAACAAACTCTCAAAAGAAATGAAGAGGCCTGGCATCTGATGGATTCGTTTAGGCAAAGTGCAGCAGGAACGTTATTTACCATCCCTGCCCGGTGCCCGGTGGTTCACTTAATGGCAAGGCATCAAAGATTGCAAGGAGCAGGGAATTTACCTTTTATCAAAATGTTTACATCCAAACTTCTCAGCGCTAACATCAAAGAGCAGCCATTCACATCAACATCTTGCAACAAAACACATGGGGGTGCTTTACACTCACTCCGTATCTAATACGTTTTCCTGCAGAAAAGCTAAAAGCTACTCAAAACATGATGAAAACCATGAACCCTAATTAAATGTCTCCTTAGAACACCATCACTAGACATTAACCAGGGCTATTTTATCCTCTGAGGAAGTAACTGATTAGTTTTATTTCTGCTTAATAAAAGAGAACCTGGCAGATTGAGGGAAGGCAGTTCAGGCAGTCCAGACTTGGCAAACATTGCACCGAGCAGACACTAGGGTGTCCCTCCACTCTCTCCTCTTCCCGTCCACACATATGGAAAGACACCTTGCTCTTAGGGAGCCCTCACCCCAGGACTGCTTCTACGATTCTCTGTAACAGTTCATCCAGCAATAGTTTGTTGAGTGTCTATTTTGTGCCAGGTGCTATTGCTGGGACTAACAGTACATCAGTCAGCAGACAGATACTGCTCTCTGGGCACTTACGTCCAAATTCCTGCAGGTCAGGGAGAGGAAGAGGGGAGGCTAAGAAAGATAACTCATCTCCAGTCCTCCACAGACACCCTCAACAGCGGCCTTCATCAGGTGCCAACTGTAACCTTCTTCAGGGAGGAACGCTCTCCGGACACATCAGGGCTTCTCCATAGAACGCTGGGGAGTCACATGACCATTGCAGGTGGCCTGGTCACCTATCACATGTGTGCTTGCGTCTGTCTCTATAATTCTGAATGGGAAGTGGTGGGAAGACACCAGAGACAAGCTGGAACTCTGTCTATGGTAAACCAAGTAAAATCCAAGAATATCAGGGGTTTTTTTATCTTCTCAAATATCTCCTGAAATTTTATGACCTTTTGTTAATTATTGTTGTCCCTATTTTGATTTTAGCTTCTACTATTTTCACATCATCTGAGGCTAGAGTGTCTAGATGGTGCTCATGAGTTTTGCCCAATATGCAACACACCTTTCAATAGCTCTTCCTCATTCACCTTTCCTTCCAGAACCCACATTTTACCCAGAAATATCCTTCCCCATTGAAGATGTGCTTATGCTTTGTGTCTAGAGCTCCCCACAAAGCCTCATCAGGTCCTAAGTGGGGCTTTTTCAGAAGTGGTTGCATCTAGAGTGTGCAATGCTGGAACTGATTCTTGGTGCGATGCTAGGATCAAGGGACTAGGATTAAGGGTGTGAGTGCCACCTGCCCTGAATAGTCTGGATGAGACAAAAGGGCAGAAAGATGCTGTTAAGGTCTCTTATTGCATTTGCTACCTTCCTCCTGCCATGAAATGGTGCCCCTCTGCCATGTGCCACCCTGTCTCAGAGCCAACCAATTATGGATTGAAACTTCTATGAGCTCTGAGCCAAATAAAACTTTCCTTCTTTAATTTTTGGTGTTGGGTATTTTGTCTTGGCAAAGAGAAAAGTAACTAAGACAGATGCTGGGCAAAGTGACAAGAAATTCAGTTCATATTCAGCCAATGGTATTACCAGGAAGCATTAATATTTTCAGAGTGGACATATGATCTAATATGGTTTAATCAGACTAAATGGAAGTTGTCCATAGTAAGAGAAGTTTCCAGCTTTTTCACTCTCTCAACTGCTAGGTAAAAACTAGAGATTAGAGTGAACACTGAATGGTAGAAATGGAGACCACTACACAGCTCTTAAAATAAATCAATCCTAAGGCTACAAGAGCTCATTGGTATCTTTATTGTCTAAGACAATCTTAGTCAAGTGCTCTATTACTTGCAGCCCAAAGCATTCAGCCACATATACAATGGGATTGTCACAGCTTTGGGCAAGTTTAGGTTTCATTTGCAGTCAAGATCACAAATAAGAAGAGATTTACACATCACAGGATCTTTTTAGACCACTCCAGTTTTTATGACATGAAGAAAGTAACCCTGCCAAAAAATAAAACTTTGATCCTGGAAGGAAACATAAACGCAGAGCTCTCTAGAGGTTAGAGTCTAACACTGCAGACGATTGCATTATAGTATTACTTTGGATACTCAAAGACAGAATTAAACAAGTATATAAGTAAAAACCATATTAAAGAAACAGGATTCTGAAATGAAATCTCTGAAGACAGCTTGATTGATAGGTCAGGGTAAAATTCTGTATTGTACATCATTTGCAAAGATGGCTGCATTGACTTCTCCCACTCCTGGAAGCATACAGCTTTGGGAAGTGACTTGGCTACTCTTTTCACTTAGAAAGAACAATCTCCCTCCCCTTGTTATGGGTCAACCCTGACCCATGATTTGTTATAGCCAGTAGAATGCAGAAGTGACAAAGCCTTGTGGCTACCCCAACACTGCCATGGAGAGAAGCCCAGGCCAGCCTCCTTGAGGAGGCCTTGGGGAAAGACACCTGCCTGCCTTCAGGGGCCCAGCCTTTCCCACGGAGACCTTGGGCAGCTTCTGAGCTCATTGGGCACCAATGAGCCCTCAGGTCAGCCCACCGCTCACAGCACCCAGGTCAGTGACACCAGGGAATCCTGCGTAATAGCATCCAGCTGAGCCCAGTCCAGAACTGTGATCAAATAAAAATTTTTTATTCACTACATTTTGAGGTCGAAAACTGATAAGCCTTCCTGTCTTTCAAAGTCATAATTGTGGTCCAAAATCAAGTGCAAAAACCAAAAAAAAAAAGCTTCTTAAAAGAAGCTTTTTATTTCTTCCCCCTCATTTGTTTGTACAACATGTTATGCTATCAATAAATACCTTAGTAAGGCCTCCAGGTATTCAGAGCTGGTGTTCATTCTGGAAGAATGTTGACCTCCTGTTCACTAGAAG